TTCCCTGGTGGATTTTCTGAAGTTACAGCTCAGCTTGCACATATATTTTCCTTCTAGTCTCTTCTAGACCCTGCTTCTCCAAACTTAAAAAAGTCTATTTTTTCTGATTCAGACAGTGGGACATATTTTTGACATATTTTATAGGTCTTGTACTCTTGACAGAAATCAGGTAAAAATAAAAGAACTGAGTCATTTGATCTAGTTGGGAGATGAGTGCATTTGATCATAGACCTGAGGAGACAATGGAAACTGTTCATCGCTGTTCTTGTTTTCTTTCATGGGCATTTGGGTTTTTGGTGGATTCATGGCTGTAGAGGAATAACTCCAGTTGTACTGATCAGAGTACTGTTTCTTTCTGTGTCAGAGAATGAAGTGTTTCTAGTGTATTTTACCTTCCAAAAATGCTTGCCCTATTATTAGCATTTCCTCTTACGATAAATCTCTGTCTATAGAAATGGGTGACTAAAAAAATTCATTTAATGGGTATCAGATATGCAAGTATCATACTACTGGACTAAAACTGTGATGCAGCTGTCCTAGTTTTAGGTTCTCTTCAGTTCAAAATACCCTAACTCTTCTCTCCTATTCAGAAAAACAGTCGAGACACAATGGCAGATGAAGGGTTCTTTGATCTGCTGAGTCGATTCCAGAGTAACAGGATGGATGATCAGAGATGCCTCTTCCAGGAGAAGAACAGATTCTCAGCTGCTTCAGTGGCAACATCCTCTACTCCACCTAAAACAATGAGAAAATGTAATTTTTTAAAAGTAAAACCCGTATTTGATTTTAGTTCCTGCCAAATACTACTTTAAAAACGTATTTGCATGCAAGACTTACTATGGAAAGGAACTTGTTTCTAGGCTAACTTGTCTTCTTCCTCCTCCCCAGCCTTTTCTACTTCTTTAGTCTCACCCCGCACAGATGAATTTCTAGACCTGCTTGCTATCTCACAGAGCCGCCGGCTAGATGACCAACGCGCTAGCTTTAGTAATCTACCTGGACTTCGTCTGAATCAACACAACAGTCAGTCAGTCCTAGGTCACCTCATGGCAAGTAACAACAGAGAACTGGATGACGACTTCTTTGATATATTGATAAAATGCCAGGTAAGTCTTTTACAAAAATTCTTTGGATTCTGAGCCTTTGGGGATTTGATTTCTGCATCCTGCTATTTAGTTTCTTCAAGTAAGCCACCATGTTTATCATGTGTTTTAAGATACAAATTGATTTGGCAGATAAGGAAGAATGTAGAGAACAAAAAATTAGGAGGTTTTTTCCCACAGGTGTTTTCTTTTTAAACAATTTCTTTTTTTTTGTTTTGATTTTTTTTTTTTTTGGTAAATTATCCAGCCTCTAGTAAGTGTCATTTTGGTATTTATACCATGTTAGCCATTTCAAGTAACAAATGCTGAAAAGATGAAGGAAAACAAGTGAGGCTGTTAAAATGAGTATGTAAAATGATTTTAAGAAAAAGTGTTTAGATCTGGCTTGTTAGGAGGGCACCTGATATACCAGGAATCCTAACTTATCAAATGGAAGAATTCAGTATCAAAGTTTTAGTGGCGATAGCGATCATCATTCTAATTATGTTAAGTTTAAATAATAATTCATGGCAGTACACAAGTGAGTTGTCTGACTGATTGTCAGTTACAGCATGGTATATATACCAATTAGATCAAAGAGAAACTAATGAAAAAGACTTGGTGTTTTACCTGATGGGTTGATAAGGATCTCAAAATACAAAATTCAGATACTGAGTTCTCCAAAGGTAAGTAAGTATGTTAGCTTGGGTGGGAAGCAGCACCTGGAATTGATTCTACAATGACAGTGTTCATCAACCTGACGAAATGCCATGTTCTGTTTTAGCAGCTTGTCTGTTTACTACTTTGACTCAAGCAAAGAATCTAGAGATCAATATGACAGATTTTGTCTCTTCACGTGCACTATATGTAGCAAACGTAACACAATGACTGACTGTGCTTATTGAGGAAGGAATGGAAAAATGTAATCCCCTCAATCATTACGAGAGCTACTGCTTTTAACAGACGCACAAAAGTAGCTGACTTCTGAGACTTTTTGTCTCAAAGATGACTCTGTCCAAGGTCCATCCTCTCCTCATAGCGAACACTGAAAGCCATGCCTTTCTGAAGTGACCCTCCAATTAGGTCGGCAGCAGCGTGTGGCTGCTGAGAAATACTCGTTCCTGGCTCAGGCAAAGGAGGTACCGCAGATGGCTGCAGTCCCCTGCCAGACCGAGGGTGATGGGCTGATGCTTGTAAAATCGGACCAGAGCGGGTGGCTGTATGAAAGGAGCACAGAAACGATCTCAGAGGTGTTAAGCGAACTGCTCTGTAACTTTGTGATTAAAATGTACCAGTCTTTTGAGTTTGGAGGAAAACTTTCTCTCGATACCGCCTTTCCACATCTGACAACAGTGCGGCTATTTTTTACTCCCTGTATAAGGAAAGGAAGACAAACATATTTTCTGTTGTATGAGACTAGAAATACCATGTACTAACACTGAAATTCTTTTAGACAAAGGACACAAATCTCATTCTGCCATATGAACAAGAACTAAATTGGCAGGTTTATTTTCAGATATATGTGGACCTGTGGTTTGGAGGAACCATTTTAGCCACAGTTGCACTCTTAACTTACTAATTTTATTTGAGAAGTGTAACTTGAAACAAAACTTACAAATTAAATACTTGTAATAGCTTTAAATCTGAAAACAAAAGCTTTTAGTAATTATTCACTTATTTTAGTATATATATTCCTGCAAATATGCAGCTTTATTGCTTGGTCTGTCTGTAGGGTTCCAGACTGGATGATCAAAGATGTGCTCCTCCGTCATCTGCAAAAGGACCAACTGTGCCAGATGAGGATTTTTTCAGCCTGATTTTACGATCACAAGCTAAGAGAATGGATGAACAAAGAGTCCATTTACCCTCAACTATGAAGGGACCAAATTCTAGCTGAAGAAAGAAACAGGCGCGTACTGTACAGTAGCCTCTTAGGTATCATTTTGTTTGCTGGAAAAAACGTACATGCCTTTTTACAGAAGACTGCAATGAGTAGTTTTGTTCCCTTTCTAATTATTTTTTGTATAAATAGCAGCAGCATCACACTCATGACCAGTAGTTAGAGTTGCCGCTGCTCTTTGCAGTTGGCAGCTGCGTTTAGCAGTGTCTGAGATACGGATTACTGTATCTTCCTCTGAACTGCCTCTACTCTATGAACATTAATATGAATTTTTTTCCCTGTCAAGGTAGTCTCATTTCTGACGTGTGGATTCTATCACTGTCTCCATCTGGTGTTAAGACCTAAATTTGTATGTTCTTTTTAAAGAAAACTTGATTCCCCCCCCCGCCCCCGATTTGTACCTCCCTGGAAAAAGGTCCTGTTTTCTTTTATACTTTTTTTAAAAATAAAAAAAAAAAAAAAAAAAAAAAAAAAAAAAAAAAAAAAAAAAAAAAAAAAAAAAAAAAATTAAAAAATCAAACCCTAGTTTTAATTCTGTTTAATACAAAACCAGTCTTTTCAAGACATGCTGGGGTTTTTTGGTAATGTTTAGTTAAATGTTTCCTGTATTACTCGGCGCAGTTTTACAATCAGAAGAATTTTTCAAGAAGATACACTTGTTTTTAAGTAACAGCTGCCAATGCTGTTCTATGGATTGTGTGGTACGTGCCCACCACCAGTAGCGGTTCACATGCCAGGGAATCACAGGGGTGGTAGGTACTTGGCATGAACTACCACGGACGTCAGGTAATTCCTACAGTAGCTGAATTTGAAATGTTGCAAACAGTAAATGTATGTATGCTGCTTGTTACCTCACCTCAACTACTTCTCTTGGTAAGGATGTGCTATGCTGGGATAGTTCTTGGGAACAACGGTTCTAACTTAGTCTTCCCCTCGGTAGAATACCTGCACTGAGGTAGTTCTTGGGAACTCCAAGGGCTATATGTTGTTTTAAGTGTAGGTATCTTGAGTTAGAAGCCACTGATTTTAGCACCAAAGGTGGCAAACTGTTCACTTCAGGTTTTTATCAATGAAGTGATGTAAGTTTTTCATTGAAGTATTATAGCCCTAGAGAAGAATCTACAGTTAATTTAATTTTAGCTTCAGAGTAAAACGGCATTTTAAGAATAGTTAAACAGACACAGGCTCCACATAATTAAACTATTTTACAGTTGCTGAAACTTTTACAAACATTCTCTTGCGGCTTTTTTAGCACTGGAAATTGATTTCTACTGAAACTGAAACTGTCCTCCTTCTACTTTTAAGGAGAAATGACAAAATATTCTTCCAAAACCATGTGTTACCATCAGTTTATTGTGCTGATCTTCAGTACTTTTACTTAGTGCTTCCTATTGCCTGTTCAGCTTTGAATTGCCCTAAAAAACCATCTGATACAACATCAACTTCTCACTCTTCCGCAAATTATTAAACTAGAAGCAAATCATCAAGCTATCCTAAAACTGAGCTGACAAGCAGGAATCCTTACTTAAGAGTGATTTTAAAGAATATAAACCAAAGACAGTCCTGAGACTTCTAGTTGAGCTGCAGTTAGTCTTATGTGAATTATATGAACATCAGCAACTTTTTCAGGCTGTTTGACAGCTACCTGGTTAGGCTTGTGTTTGCTAGATCACAGAGCGTCAGTGCTTTCCCACCAGAGTATCTAGTTTTACTCAAAGCTTATTACACAAACTTGATTTGAAACAAGCAGCAGCACCCACAAGCCTGTTTTCTTGCCCAATTAAAGTTGTATTATCTTACTTAACACATATATTGCAAATTCCAGAAGTAGTACATATACTCAGTCTCTCGGTTTTTAAAGCCCCACCTTACAGTTACGCGTACTAATGCTCTGACCAAAGATGAGTTCCCATCAGCTTGCTGATGTTCTCTTTTGTACATTTGAGAACTAGAGCAGAACTAGCAAGGACGTGACAACTAAAGATTAGACAAAACTTACAGCTGAGCTCGAGGCTTCCTTAGTCTCCTTCCTGCGCGTCACGTGAACTGCTCTTCTTCTCTTCACACGGTTCCATTGCAGGACTTTTCCCTTCTAGGTTTTTATTAGGATCACAGTTTTCTCCAGTCTCTTGCTCTGCTTTGCCTGTCTCCTGTTTCTGCTGCTCAAGTACACGTTCTTCAGTAAGGTTTTCAGCTGTGATAGTTTCTAGTCTACAAACTTCAGACTCAGTGTGCAATCTATTCTGTAAAAATTAATAATAAGCTATTAATCAAGCAATCCAAAGCGATGGCATCTATTGCTTCAGGTGCATCTCAGCTCAAGGGGCAGAAGTCCCCCAAAGCATGACCGGTATTTTTTTTTCCCCCGGGGAAACAGTACATGTAAATAAGCACAATCTAGAGTATAAGTCTGTTTTTAATTTTCTATAGTTTACAGAAAAGTCAGCACTGCTTTTTTCCCCCACTTTTCCTCTACGGGTAATCATTATTGCCCAGGCTGACAAAAGTACTGATCTCTCAAAACAGAAGTTATTTAAGTCTTTACTATAACGAGTTTTAATTCAGTAGCGTCCTGCCACAGTTAGCCATTGCACAGTATTTTTCCAGAACAAAACATGCCCAAAATACCCCTACCAAACTGGCCTATAGGGGAACAGGTACTTAACTCCTCTCTCCCCAAGATTTGGGTTAAGCTGCTTGTTTAAACATGTTCTAGCAGATGACATTGAAATCTATTAAATTTAATCCCAGCTCAAAGAGCACCAGGACTAACATACACCCGGTTCTGGTTTGTGAGGCTCTTCTACTTGCGTATCTGGCTCATTGCTTGTATGCACGATGTCAGGACTTCTGCTGCCATTTCCTGGTCTCACAGGAGCATCTCCTCTGTCATAAGGTCCTCTATAAACATAAGGAAGCTTCTGCGAATAATAGCCGTCTGATTTACTCCCATCATATTGCCCAAAGTCTATTTTCTCCTGTTGACTGTCAGGTGGAGGAAGGCTTTTCTTCTGAAAAGATGTTAAGTATCTTAACATAGACACTGATGATCCTGCACCATAGCAGAAAGCCTGGGGAGGGGGGGAGAACAAAACACCAAATATTTGTAGCCTATGGTTTTCACACAGAATTCAAAGTCACATATCTGAAAAACACTGAAAGAAAAGCTCAGGTGAGCAGAACGGCTACAATAAAATTCAAGCTTTCTGCAGTCTGACCACACTGCAGGAACTGCCTGACTGGATGTAGTTCATCTGTGGTGCTACAGTAAAGATGTTGAAGGCTCTAACTCAATGCTTTCATGCACAAAATGCCAATTACATGCATCGCTGTGTAATGACACAAAGAAGAAATGGGAACTAAGCTGCAATAAACTGTCATAGAGTTTTTAAGATTTTAAGCAGTTTAATGCTATTTTATCCCACTTGGGGAGTGGGGGAGAGATGCGCTTTAAATACACACTTACCTATTTTAATTGCTAAACCAACTACTATAAAGATTTTGTCAAGAAAAAATTCCCTTGTAGAAATAATTTAATCTGTGCTAAGAAATCTGTGCAGTAGTACAAATAGGAAATAAATAATATAATAGAAAATAATACTTAAGTAAGTTTAATATATAAAAAATAAAACTGAGCTTTTAAATGTAAGATAAACGTATACAAACCAGGACAGCCAGAGCCATCATAATTAGCACTGGAACCTGCAGAATAAACGGTATCTCCTTCATAAGCGCTTTGATGAATTCACCAATACCTTGTCCTACGTGCTTCAAAGGCTCAGTTACAAAGTTGGTGAAAGTAATCGCCAATGCCTAGAAAAATACAAATAGAAAAATAGTGTTGTCACTGATTGCAAACATAAACATCAACAACCTCTTTAGGCCTGGCACATACCTTTGTCGGTGGAACCAGCAAAACAGGATTTATTAATAGAGTTTCATAGTACTTCTGACAGGGATCGTCCTGAAATGTCCATTTACTTCTGAGCCATTCTGTAGTCAAAGCAGAGACACATTTTTACTACTTTTTAAAAATATATTTTATGACACAGTTGTAATACAGAAAGTAGCATTTCGATCACAGATGGAAGAGAACTCTTCTAGATACGGCTCAAAGCTCAGATTTATTTTTAAAAATCTGAGATTAGCTTGGCAGTGTAGTTTATCCAGTCATGGGGATGCACGAAGGAGAGGGAAGGCTGGAAAGAAAGAGAAGAAACTGAGGTTTCCCCATGTTTAGTCAAGAAAGTTCTCTTGATTAGATGAGCTTAGTCCCTAGAAGCCTCAGAAGAAAAATAAGTCTTGTCTGTGGGAACTATTATCTAGCACATTTTGTCCACAGCTACCAAAACAGAAGCAATTCTGAGTGTTGTTACTCATCTGCCAGGCTGCAAGTAGATGAAAAATGTGTATTTTGCTTGCTAGATTTCAAGAGACTATTTTAGCTATAAGCAGAAAGTCTTACTCCTTAAGGGGACTTCTAAGATATAAACAAGTAATTTATGACATCAGTGTTTCTGTAGTTTTATTTTAGTGCAGTCAGAACATAAACCACTAAAATTTGACATAAACACAGCAATCTAAAGGGAATAAATTCTAAAGGGAAGACCACAACAAACACTCATTAAGAGCTGCCATCATTAATCTACCTGCTATAGCATTGGATAACAAGTAACGGCTAATAAAAAAATTCAGCTTTCTCTGTAAAATAGAAACACTAGAGTAAGCAGTTACAGATCTAATTTCTGAAGTCCATTGTACTCGCAGGCCTGGAAGATGAAAAAAAATCTTCTTCTTGAATTCTGCCCTCCTATCTTCAATAAATGGCACTGAATGGTACCGGGGGAGGGGAGTCGGGGAAACACTCACGGGGCAAGTTATAAGGAAAAACACCACGTAGAAGTAACAGCATGACATGCTCTAAGCACAGTTTTGTGATCAGCTCTCCTACAAAGGCCTAGAAAAGAAAGTTGTGGAATGGAAAAATGGTAAAACCACATAATCATGTATTGCTGAAGAAGATTCAATGAAGAATCTTCTCACTTCGCACTATTCATGAAGAAATTAAGAGTATTCTTGGATACTATTACTGAGTATTTTGTGATCTTAAATACTATTACAAAATAACGAAACAAGTATTTACCAATAAGACTTTCCCCCCAGTCCAACTTCTCAGCACAGACGTTATCAAACTGCCCCATTTTTGCAATTTCTGCTTGATGCTGCGCAAAGGCCAGCTGCAGGAGAATAAGAATTACTTGTAAAACATAAAAGAAGCTGGTGCTGGGCACAGAACACCTGCATCCATGCAGCACTGCACCTGAGCTAACGGTGTTTGCTCTTAGCAGGTTTGGAATAATTACCTGGGTAAATCTGTATTAAGAAAAGTTTGCTACCTAATAACAGAGTTAAATTCTAAGTACTTCCTGGGAATGGATAAAAACTACCAAGATGGTTACCTCTGAGTTATTTTCCAAATGGAGTCTGAATTACTAAAAGAGCAAACTTCAATAATCAAAGATGTAAGTTCAGGGCAAAAGTAATTTGGTATCTTGTTTCCTTAAAATGTTTCTGGATTAAAAACAGACACAGCTGCCATGCAATTACTAATTAAAACATCAGGACATTCTCTTTTATTTTTTAAATAATTCCCATTAACAAATACCTGTATTCATTATAATTTTGCCTTACAGTTTGTAACTGATAATCAAATAGAAAAAATTAAGTCAAATCATCTGTTGAAAAGCTCTTTGACATTCTTCACTGATTCAATCTAAGTCCTCCGCATGGCAGTCCACTCGTCTTCAAGAGGCATCCTACTCTCTGGCACTCCGCTATTTCTGGATGTCCTGGTTTCAGCTGGGATAGAGTTAATTTTCTTCCTAGTAGCTGGCATAGTGCTGTGTTTTGGATTTAGTATGAGAATAATGTTGATACCACACTGATGTTTTAGTTGTTGCTAAGCAGTGTTTATACTAAGTCAAGGGCTTTTCAGCTTCCCATGCTCTGCCAGGTGCACAAGAAGCTGGGAGGGGGCACAGCCAGGACAGCTGACCCCAACTGGCCAAAGGGATATTCCATACCATATGATGTCACACTCAGTATATAAACTGGTGGGAGTTGGCCAGGGGGCAGCGATTGCTGCTCAGGGACTGGCTGGGGGGGGGGGGGGCAGTTGCATCACTTGTTTTTCCTAGGTTTTGTTCCTCTCTCTCATTGTTTTACTTTTCATTACATTTTAAAATAATAATAACAACAACAACAATAACTATTATTATTATTTTATTTCCATTATTAAACTGTTCTTATTTCAACCCACAAGTTTTCTTACTTTTGCTCTTCTGATTCTCTCCCCCATCCCACCGGGGCGGGGAGGGTGAGCGAGCGGCTGTGTGGTGCTTAGTTGCCCACTGGGGTTCAACCACAACACTGGGTCTGACAAGCTGCAGTTAAATTCTGATGACAAGATGTGAGGACTGAGATTTTGTGGTTGGGCTATGATCTAGCAGCATAAATTCCTTCTCATTAAAACCAGTACCATTGTACCATTGTACAGTCAGCTACTCTGTCACCATTAATGAAGCATTTATCTCTGGTCTATCGCACGTTAAATACAGTTTCAGCCAGGGAATCCTTAGAAAGAAAAAAAACCGCACAATATATTTTTGTAAGACTTTTCTACCAAGCTGCTTTAGACAGAGTTCACGTCTCCCTTGCCCATGCAGTGAAAACACAGTTCTACTGCTTTACGAATTCTGTGCACCTTTGCGGCAGGATAAAAGTTGGCAGGGTTTCTTTTGTTGTTCTTTAAGCCTAATGCACCTGTCAACACGCAAAGTAAAACGTTCATCCCTTTATTATTTTGCAGTCAATTATTGCTTTATATAAACTAAGTAAAGGAACTAAATAACCTTAGCTCCCTCATAACTGTAAAATTTGAAGCCTAAAAGCCATTAAGATTTCAGAACAACTTACCTTATACAAGTAAAGCCAATTCCATGCAAAACTGATGAGAAAACTTATCAATAAAACACGTTTTAGCTGAACAAACCAATGAATATGTGTCCAGAGCTCTGTAGCTATTACAATTACAACGCACACTAAGCACAAGAGGATCTGAAAAAGAAAACAGGAAAAAATTATGATCCAGATTTGGAATTTTCCAAGCTTGCTGCCAGTACTCATGAAGGAACTTCCAACTTTTGTTTTTACTAGCATCATTTACACAGAACAGTTGAGAAAATTTGTCCTTGCTTTCACAGCATATCTGCAGCAGTACAAGGCAGAAAAGTTTCATGGTATTACTAGGAGTCATTCCTATCACAGCCTTACATTGCAGTTGCTCATTTCTTTCTTGTGATATTTAGCTTCCTTACGGTATTTATCACGCTACCTACCATACTTTAAATTACAAAATTGACGTTAATTCAGTGCTTGAGTAGTATGTGCCTGGTATGAACCACAGAACCACTGCTGCCAACTCCTGCAGTTTGGTTAAGAGACAAAGTTACAGTCTGGCTAACAACAGCAAGACTTCAGGCACTTTACAGCCTCCTTCCATCCAAGGACCCCTAACAGCAACGTTATGCTACTGACAGCTTGCTTTTTTCATTTGGCTTTCATGGACCCCTCAAAACTAGACAGGCTACTTTCAAGATCACATTAGCATAAAACGTTAGCATATTCTGAATTGTAAAGATTTATTCAGAGAGCTTCAGCTTATCTGACTGGATAAGCTTCAGCCAACTGAAGTGCGGCTATCGATGGCTACAGGCTGTTCAGAAGGGACAGGCGGGGAAGGAGGGGTTGCCCTCTACATCAAGAAATGGATAGAGTGTGAAGAGCTGTCTCTGAAGAATAGCCATGAGCAGATTGAATGCTTATGGGTAAGAATCAGAGACCGAGGCAACACAGGCAACCCCGTGGTTAGTGTCTACTACAGGCCGCCCAACCAAAGGGAGCCTATTGACGAAGCCGCCTTACTCCAGCTAAAGGAGTCGCGCTCGCAGGCTCTTGTCCCGCTGGGGGACTTCAACCACCCCGACATCTGCTGGAAAAGTAGCACGGCAAGCTGTAGGCAATCCAGGAGACTCCTGGAATGCATTGAGGATAACTTCTTAAGCCAGAGGGGATGCCCTACCAGAGGGGATGCGATATGGGACCTGTTGGTCACAACACAAGTGAGCTAATCGGTGACATCAAGACTGGAGGCAGCCTGGGCTGCAGTGATCACGCACTGGTGGAGTTGGCAGTCCTGCGAGAAATGGGTCAGGCGAAGAGTAAAGCCAAGACCCTGAATTCTAGGCAAGCAAACTTCCAGCTGTTCAAGGAGTTAGTCAATAGGACCCCCTGGGAAACTGCCCTCAGGGACAAGGGAGCAGAACAGAGATGGCAGATCTTTAAGGACACCTTCCATAGAGAGCAAGAGCTCTCGATCCCCAGGTGAAAGAAATCAGAAAAGGAAGGCAAGAGACCAGCATGGATGAGTCGAGACCTGCTGGTCAAACTAAAGGGCAAGAAGGAAATGCACAGGCGGTGGAAGCAGGGACAGGTATCCTGGGAAGAGTACAGGGACGCTGCCTGGCTGTATAGGGATGGGGTCAGAAAGGCCAAGGCACAGCTGGAGCTGAACTTGGCAAGGGATGTAAAGAATAGCCAGAAAAGGAAGGTCAAAGACAGCGTACCCCCTCGATGAGCAACAGACGAGGAGAAGGCTGAGGTACTCAACAACTTTTTTGCCTCAGTCTTCACTGGCAATCTCTCTTCCTACAACTCTGGAGTGGATGGACCGCAAGACGGGGACTGGGGGAGCAAAGTCCCTTCCACTGCAAGAGAAGATCAGGTTCGAGACCACCTGAGGAACCTGAACATACACAAGTCTACGGGACCTGAGGAGATGCACCCCAGAGTCCTGGGGGACTTGGCTGATGTAGTTGCCAAGCCACTCTCCATGGTCTTTGC